TTGCAGTGAGGGAGTGGGTATGTTTCATTGTGTAGTCTGGGATCTTAATTTTTTTAAAAAAACATTATATTCATTTTTTTTCAGTTCTCAAGTTTTCCTTCCTCCCTCCCCCCCACCTTTCCCCTCCCCCCTCGCCATTAAAAATTTTTTTTTAAAAGCAAAGGCTTTGTAACAAATATGCATAGTCAAGCAAAACAAATTTTCCTATTAGCCACGTCCAAAACGTATGTATCATTCTGCGTCTGGAATCTGTCACCTCTCTGTCAAAAGTGAGATGGGATCACGGTTTGAATCCCACTCAGGCACTTACTAGCTGCTTAACTCAAAGCAATCCCTTAATCTCTCTCAGCTCCAGTTTCCTCATCTGTAAAATGGGGAGACCTATGTGCACAGCAACCCCCCTGCCTCATAGGCTCTACACAAGAGGATTAAATGAAAACACTTCATGTAAAGCACTCTGCAGACCTTAAAACATTAAATAAATGCCAACTATTACTATAAAGCAAAACCTTCCCTGACCACATCAGTAATTACTTTCAAACCCTTTTGACTCTGTGATTTCTGAGGTCTCTTCAAGCTCTAGCCGATATTATTCTGGGCCTAGAAATCCTGATGTCAGGCCTCAGTTCTCATAACTTCTCTATGAAGCTTGCATCGTTTCCATTTTGAGGAATTCTTCTAGAAATGGGAAAATACCATTAAGTTATTCAGTCCACACATGTGCAGTGAGAATAGCATTCACTTCAGCACCTGTTCGCTTGCCGACATGCCTACCAGAAAGAGAGATTCCAAAGGAGGAATGGGAATATCTCTATGTGTTTGGCTTTGGGAAAAAGGCCTCCGATGGGTTTTTACATTTATAGTTGAACAAATCTTTAACCAGCTAAGAAGACATTTAGCCTTTGGTTTTAATCTTTTGAGTGCAATTCAACATTCAATTTCCATGCTAATTTTAAAAATCTCAGCATTTCTGTCACTTCCAGTTTTGTTTTTGCAAGAATATATGACACCCTTGAAAGTCTTGCGTTTTGTTTTCTTTTTGTTTTTCCTAAAAGATGAAGTTGTACTTTAGTAATCGTAACTAGAACTCTAATGTCAAAATGCTCCCTTTGGGTTCAGGTTTGGAGCTGTGATGTATGTGTTCTTTAGACTTGGCAGTCTTTTCTATCTTTAATTCTCAATGCATTGATGAGAAATGATCCCACATTTTTGTCTAATGGGAAGAGCACTGGACTAAGGAGTCAGAAGCCCCAAATTCTAGTTCTGGCAGGTACCACTTACTAGCTGTGTGCATTTGGCAACTAACCTCCTCTCTCAGAGCCTGTTTCTTCAGCTGTTAAAAAAACATGGGAACCACAATCTTTATCCAGTTTGCCACAAACGGGGTAACCAGAAAGTACTTTGTAAACGAGTAAATACTGTAACCGTGTAAAGTAAGGTAGCATGTATACCTCTAATGGGACTTGCTCCCTATGTATGTAGAAGAATAATGGGACATATACTGGTAGCTCAAGGAAGGCAGTTTGGTGGAGTGGTGGTAATAGAGCTGGCCTTCAACGCGGACAAGTCCTGCCTGGCTGTGTAATCCTGGGCAAGTCATTTTACTTCCCTGGGCTGTAGGCAGCTCTGTGAAGACTATAAATTGCAGAGCTGCATTGGTAAATGGTTTTTCTCACTTAGGAGGTCTCTATACTACTACTCCCATCCCTTTCCTTAGCAGCACAAAGTCACTAGAATAAAGCGAAATCTCCTCCATTGTCTCTGAAAGAAATGAGCCAGGCAAACAGATTTTGTGGCAAAGATCAAGTCTCCATGGGACTAGCTAGGATAGTAGAGGCAGAGTTGAGAGAGTATTGAGATTAGATTCAGGAAGACTTGGGTTTGAACACTGCCTGGCTGTGTGACCCTGGCTAAGACACTTATCTGTTCTGGGCCTCAGTTTCCTCATCTGTAAAGTAGAGATAATAATCCCTGTAGTGCCTGCCTCACTCCTAGGTTCTACAGTCATTCAGTTAATTAGCAAACATTTATTAAGTGTCTGCTCTGGGCCAGGCGCTGCGCCAGGTGCTGCACAGACCTTCAAATGCTATATGAATGTCAGCTGTTAATATCGTCCAACCTGTCATATGAGCACGTCCACATTTAATATCCAGTGCAAGACAATGCTTTGAGTTGCGTTGGTAGTGAAAGGGATCTTTGTGCGGTTTTGTCACCATAAATCAGGGAACTCACAGCTGGAGCATGATAGTTGAGCCAAGATTATATCAGGGAGAACAGGTTTCTTAAGGGTTTCTCATGTAAGTAGATCCTCTCCATATTCCTGTCTGGAGTATGAAGGTCGTAGCCCTGACACTGGCCAAGGAAAGGATTGGCATGATGGAATCAATATAATTGTGACTAATCAGGAATTCCTTCTGTAAACCATCCCTGATCCCCTAGTTGTTAAGTACCTCCCCGCCTTGGACCTCACGTTGACTCTCGCTTTTCTAACTTGCTTTTTAACAACCGTGTGTTATATTTGGTTGTATTGGTATTTTGTCCCTGCCTTGGACTTTAAAGTTCTCGAGAACAGGGATTGTGTCTTAGCTAAGATTTCTAGATCTCTCAGGACATAGCCCACTACTCTGCGTAGCATAGTCACTTAATAAACGTTGGCTGTGTTTTGTATTTGTAACCACGACCGGGCATTGACTTACTGTCTGACTTTGGACAGATCACTTCCCCTTGCTGAGCTGGAAGTGGAGAGGGTTGGACTACGTGGTCTCTGGTTGAAACTCCATGATGTTGTCATTGTAGCCTCCACATGCCCGTGGCATCTTGGAGTTGGAGGGGTCCTGCATTGACTCTGTACCTGAGCAAGAATCCTCTGTCCCAGCCTCTCCTGAGGGGGAGGCTCCTCTAGAGACGGCCCATTCTACTTGGTAGGTTTCAGGGAATTTTTCCTTGCAGCTAATCTAAATCTACACCTCTGCAGCTTCCGCCCATTACTCTTACTTCTGACCTCAGAGGCCAAGCAGATCAAGTGCAATACTTTTTCCACATGGCGACCCTTGATATACTTGAAGACTGTTATGGCTTTTAAGTCTCCTCCAGCTTCCACATTCCCTGTTCCTTCATCCTGTCCTTGTATGGCGTAACGTCCAGGCTTCTCGCCTTTTTGGTTGCCCCCTTCTGGATGCTTTCTGGTTTATCAATGTCCTTCCTAAAATGGGAAATCCAAAACTGAATATCATACTTCATATGTAATCTGATCAAGATAGAGGGCAGCAGTATAATCGCCACCTCCTTCTGGACACTCCTACTCTCTTATTGCAGCCAGAAATCATTAGCTTTCACTCACGTTGAATTTATAACCCCTAATACCCTCCTAACGTTTTCACATGCAATGTTGTCTAGCCACACCATCTTCATCTTGTACTTCTGTAGTTGATTCTTTGAACCTGAGGGTAGGATTTTGCACTTGCACCTACTAAATTTCATCTTAATCGATTTGACCCATCATGCTAGCCTGTTGAGATTTATTTGTATCCTGAATTTTTCATCCAATGTATTAACAACACCTCCCAGCTTTTTGTCATCTGAAAATTTGATAAGCATTCCATCTGTGCTTTCATCCAAATAACTAATAAAATGCCGAATAACACAAGGCCAGAAACAGTGCCTGGGGCACACCACTAGAATGCTCTTCCAAGTCAGCCTATTAATGACTACCCATTGGATCCAGCACCCTGAGAGCTTTTGTAGATAAAACTGGAGTATTGCAAGCATATGGATAATGAAAAAGATAGATTCAGATTGTGAGAATTCTTTTTCCCTTCAAAACCATTGTGGCCCTCATGTTTGGATATCACAATCCCTGATGTTCTGTATGTGAAAGTCAAAATAACATTAAGGAAAATAAGAGTGGGAGTAGACTAGGCCTCGTACAGTTAGAGAAATTCTATCCTGGAGGTGACATAGTTTGGAGGCTGCAGAGGGATTGAGTCTGAAGATGGCTGAAAGAGAGGAGAGAATAGCAATGCCAAGGGCAAATGACAGATTTTACTACCAGATTTACTAGAGGTTACTACCAGAAATAGATGATCGAGAAAATAATCAGTTCCAACCCATATACCCGTGATTTCCCATTTCTGCTAAATCTTTAAGAGAAATCTATGCATGTAATCACAGGCATCCTCAATGAAGGTTTAAGAAGGAAACAGGCAGACTTTTGCAAATATATTCTCCAGTGGACCACATGTTAGCAGTCACCGAGTTGAAAGGTGCAAAGGATAAAAGTTTCCACTGTGATTTTTGTTTACTATTTAAAAAATTTTATTCAGTATCATAAAATGCTGTCTTAAAGGCTATCCTCCAAGAAGATACACATATGAACACACACATACGTACACCATGCATAGGTTAAAATCATATGAGATTCTTTGAAAGATGCATCCTCAAAGTTAACTTTGTTCTACAATTCTCTGATATGTCTAGCACAAAGTACAAAAAGAAGTGGTAATTTGCATCAAGGCTTAGAACATTGCAGAACTTCCTAAATGAAATCCATAGTCGCTTAATAATTAACAGTATAAAAACATAATAGAATATCATTGTGCCATAAGAAACAGCAAATATAAAGAATTCTGAGAAACTTGGATGACTTGTTTAAACTTTGATGCGAAGTAAGTGGAACCCAGAAAACAATTTATACATTTCCTTCAATAATGTAAAGCAAAACCACATTGAGAGACATCAGAACTCTGGTCATGGCAGAGACCAGTTTCAACTTTAGAGGACTTGAGGTGAAACATGCCTTCCTCATTTTGGCAGAGGTGGTGAGCTATAAGTGCAGAATAAGACATATATTGTAAAATGCAACCAATGAATTAATTTATTTAGCTGAACTATATTTCTTTGTTACAATGGAAAGTTCCATGGGGTGGAGGGAAGGGTTGCTGAGAAGTGATGGTACTGTTTAAAAAAGCATCAATAAAATGTTTTTATATCATTTTTTAAAGGCTCAGCCTACTTCTCCACACTGGGAAAACCAATTGGTTGAAGAAAGCCTGCCATCCACACTTTGATATACAGTTGGATGGACAAGTGAAGAGCCAACAGAGAAGTATGTATATTTATACAAGATAGATTGTACATAATACAGGTACATGTGGTACACCGTGTGTACATACCACATGTGTTACATATAACATGTATGCTGTGTGCGTGTGTTCATGGCATTGTTGTATATCCATATATGCGTGTGTGTGCCTTGGATAGACACTGCCAATGGACAGTGAACTGGGCCCAGAATTAAGTAGGAGGAAGGGAGTGGGCTGGATTCCATTTGGGAAATTTCACAATGCTTTTAATGACTCAAAACTTCTTTCTGAAACAAAGGCTCCTTTTTTTAAACCAGAATTTTTTTTTTGGTGATGCTATATGGCAGCAAATTATAGAATAACATGTTCTCTGAAGAATTTAAGTTGCAGGCCACCCAAAGGGTATGAGAAATGCACCACAAAACACACCAAAAGCTGTAAAAAAAATGTCAGCTCAGAGGTGGGCTTGTAATGTAGAAAGAAGGAGAAATAGCCAATGGCTAGCCTGTGTATTCCATTGGTGCCCACTTTGGTGCTGTGGAAAGAACACTGGTGCTCGGGGCAGAACACCTGGGTTGCTGCGTATGACCTGTGTGACCTTGGGCAGTTCGTTGACCCTTTCTGGGCCTCAGTTATTTCATCTGTGGAATGAGAGGGTTGGAATAGATGGCCAGTTGTAAAATAAAAGCAAACGCAAATGAAGCGAACAGCTTACACAGCATGGTAGAATCCAGCTCTTGAGAAACCAAAGAGAATTGCATGTTATCCTATTGGTGAATATTTGTTGGGACCTTTCAGGCTAGTGGGCTTTGTCCCATGAAGCTGGCATGGTTTTCCTTTAGTTCTTTACCTTTCCTCTATCATAGCGCCCTTGGGCAGTCTGGTGAAACCTGTGGACCCCTTCCCAAACTCATGCTTTTAAATCATTGAAAGAAATACTAAATTTTACTTAGATGTTAGTGAAAATAAAGATATAATTTCTTTTCCCATTCAAGTTCACTGAGAGACCCCCTGAAATTTATCCATGGATCCCCTGGGGTCCTTGCTACTCTGCATTTATATTTGTGATGTGTCCAGGTATTAATATTTTTTTTTAAGTAATTGGGGTTAAGTGGACTTGCCCAAGGTCATGCAGCTAGTAAGTGTCTGAAGCTGGATTTGAACTCAGGTTCTCCTGACTCCAGAACCAGTGCTCTATGCATTGCGCCTTCTAGCTGCCCCTAAGTATTAATGTTTTGTAAGGAAAGGATTTGCAAATAGTTGATTTGGGGATGGTATATGATATCTGTAAATATGGGACATATCTACAGTTTTATGATTGTCAGGATTTGATGTGTTGAGGGGTCTGTCTAATGCCAGTATATAAGTAAAGTCAAAGCACTAATGCTCTTGCCTGAAGGCTTTTTTCTTTTTTGGCTAGGCAATGGGGTTAAGTGACTTGCCCAGGGTCACACAGCTAGTAAGTGTTATGTGTCTGAGGCTGCATTTGAACTCAGGTCCTCCTGAATCTAGGGCTGGTGCTCTATCCACTGCGCCATCTAGCTGCCCCCTAGTCTTTTTTTAAAAGACAGCTAAATGAAGAGCAAGGGAAACATGAATATGTTGCAGTCAGTACTGAAAAGTTACATCTTTCTAAATCTTCATGTCTACTCGGCTTTTACCTATAGGCTGGAACTTAGGCATTTCACAGGGACAGGATGTTACACTGCCTTCTTTTTCGGTTGGATCACTAACCAGTCTCCAAATCCCTCTGAGGGGTGTTTCAAAATGCTTCAAAAGTTCTCAAATAAAAATTGAAGTCTCTCTAAAACTAGATTTCCTTGCTTCCAGTTCATCCTGAATAATCTTCCCAGATTCACCTCCCTAAAAAACTGTTTTCCTTCTGTCACTTCTTTGCTCCAAAACTTTCAGTAGCTCCCTATTGCCTGTGGAATAAAGTCCAAAATGGGTGTCCTGGCCTTTGAGTCCTTCACAATTCAGCATCACGTCTGGTTCCTAGCTTCTTGTTTCAGGCTTTGATTTGTCCAGTTCTACCCACCTGGAATAACCTACTCCACCTTCCTTTCCCTATCTGCCCCTCCTTCCCACACCTCTCTAAACCCTACCAGCTTTCAAGCCCACCTCCAGGCTAGCCTCTTCCAGGAAGTCTTCCTTGACTAGAAGTGATTTTCTGAAACCCTATGGCAGTTACTGTCTCTTGAATCCATAGGACTATCAGAGATTCCACACCTTAGCAAGTCAGAGGCACTGCAGGTTCTCACATACCCAGATCAGAGATATTCCACATGTGTGGTATCTCCTGGGATGAAGCTATGGAGCTGGCACTGAGGGTTTGGGGGACCTGGTCACCAGGCATTTATTGATGTAGACACTTGGTCAGAGTGCCAAGTGGCCTTCATTGATGTTTAAAGTGACAAGGTGTGGGAGCTGACATTATCGCCCCTGCACTAACTCTACTGTATTTCATCTCAGTACCCTGGAGGGTAGGGACCCTAATCACCTGGTTCCTCTTCTGTCTCATGGCTGGTAAACTACCACTTCCTGCCCTCCATATTCCTGTGGTTTAGAGTCAGAGTCAGTTGAGGCAAAAATCCTTTCCCCTTATTGTTCAGTTTTTCAGTCACATCCAATTCTTCACGACTCCATGGACCAGCTGTCCATAGGGTTTTCTTGGCAAAGATACTGGAGCGGTTTGCCATTTTGTTCTCCAGTTTTCAAGGAGGGGTTAAGTGACTTGTCCAGGATCACATAGCAAGTAATTGTCTGAGGTCAGATTTGAACTCTGGTCTTTCTGACTCCAGGCCCAGTGTTCTCTCTACTGAGCCACCTAGTTACTCCTATTTCCCTTATTGCCTTTCCCTTAATTCCCATACCTTGACACCCCTACCTTTTCTTTCCGTGGTCCTTATCCTTCTCTTAGGTGGTGCCATAATGGATAGAGCAGTGGGCCTGGAGTCAGGAACACTCTTCTTCCTGAGTTCAAATCTAACCTCAGATACTTATTAGCTATATGACCTCAGGCAAGTCACTTAACCCCAGTTGCCTCATTTCCTCATCTGTAAAATGGGCTGGAGAAGGAAATGGCAAACCACTCCAGTGTCTTTGCCAAGAAAACCCCACATGGGGTCAGGAAGGGTCAGACACGCCGGAAATGACTGAACAACAGCGGTCCTTCTGTGGCTTCCCATTCCATTCCATTATGCCCTCTGAAATCCCCACTTTACTGCTCACATTGGATAACTGTTAACTCTCCTTTATCCTCCATGGTCTGTCTCATATTGTCATACCCCTGGGCACTTTCAGTGTGTTTCTTCTCGCCTGTGCATTAACTATACGTGTTCCACAGGACTGTGTCCTGGAACCTTTTGTTTTCTCCCTCTGTACTTATTTGTCCTTTTTGAAGAGGACTGTGACATCGGGAAGGTGATGTCATGACTTGAGAGTGAATTGGATTTAAGTGAGACAGAGCTGTGCAGCGTCACCAGCCTCACTCTCTCCTCCGGAGCCATCTTCTATACTATTTCACCTGGTGATCTCATCGGCTCCCTTAGATTTAATTATCATCTCCATGGCGATGATTCTCAAATCTGCTTATCTAGCCCCAGCCAATTTGCTGACTTCCTGTTTCACATCTTTAACTGTCTATTCGGCAGCTCAAAATGGCTGTCCACTAGACTTCTTAAATTCAACATATCCAGAATTGAATTTATTATCTTTCCCAACAAACCCTTCCCTACCTCCAAACTTTGCTGTTGCACTTGAGGGCACCGTCATCGTCCCGGTCTCACAGGCTCCCACTCTAGGAGTCATCCTGGACTCCTCAATATCTCTCACCCCCCCATATCTGAGGTATTGCCAAGGCCTGTCAATTTCACATTTGTAAAACTCTCAAATATGCCTCCTTCTCTCTTCTGACATTGCTACCATGCTGGTGCAGGCCATCATCTCTGCCTGCTCATTGATCTGCTTACCACAGACTGCTCTCCATTCCAGTGCATATTCCGCTCAAAATAGTTTTGGTAAAGTGCAGGTCTGACCATGTCACCCCCCTCCTTGATAACTCTTGTGACATCCTATCACCTTTAGGATCAAATACAAAATCATCTCTTTGACATTCAAAGCCCTTCATAATCTAGTCGCCCCCCCCCAAATTTCCACTCTTCTTATACCTCCCCCACCTTCCCTCAAAGTACTCTACAGTCAAGTGACACTGACCTCTAAGTCATTCCTTGAGCAAAACCCTCTGCCTCTCAGCTCTGGGCATTTTCTCTGCCTCTTCCTCACACCTGGAATGCTCTCCTTCCTCATCTCCACCTACTGGCTTGCCTTCTTGTTGTTCAGTCATGTCTGACTCTTGGTGACCCTGTGGAGTATAGTGTCTGTGGGGTTTTCTTGGCAAAGATACCAGAGTGATTTGCCATTTCCTTCTCCGGTGAATTAAGGCAAACAGAGGTTAAATGACTTGCCCAGGGTCACACAGCTAGTAAGTGTCTGAGGCCAGATTTGAATTCAGGTTTTCCCGACTTCAGGCCAAGCACTGTATCCACTAAACCATTTAGCTGCCTCTGCTGGCTTCTCTGGCTTCCTTCAAAGCCCAACTAATATCCCACCTTCTACAGGAAGCCTCTCCCAATCTCTCTTCATTCTACTGCCTTCTTTCTGTTGATCATTTCCTAGTAATCCTGTGTATAACCTGTTTTCCAGTTATTTGCAAATGATCTCCCTCATTGATTGTTAGCACCTCCAGGGCAGGACCTATCTTTTGCCTTTCTTTGTATGCCCCACACTTAGCACAGTGCTAGGCACAGAGTAGGCACGTGTTTATTGACTGACTTCCTCTTGCCCTCACTCTGGGCCCTAGGAAGAATTGACCAACTCCTTTCCCCTGTTATCGCTTTGTAATCTCTCTTCCCTTGAAGTTCACTCTTATTTATCAGGATTAACCCATCTGGATAGTTGTTTTGTA